AGATGTTTTTATTCTTCAGGTCTTCTCAGACTCTTGCGGGACATCTAGCAAATTCCTTTCTTCCCCTGACACGGTCTGTTCAGCATCACTGAACAGTAACGATGCGTATTGCCTCCCTTTGTGTCCACAGCTAGTTGGAAACAGTAGATCACCACATTTAATGTTGGAATGATGTAAGTATTGGGGGGAGAGGCATTTTGTTCCCTTATTTGAGAGCTGTCAGTAGAGAGATAACAGGAAATTAGGTGGTGAGAGATGAAGAATGGTCAGCACCTTAAAACCCCCAAGACACACGGGCACCCTAGCGTTTTAGATGTTAACTGTAGTTAATATTGTAGCTATTATTGTAGTTCTCTTCTTCAGAGCAGGAGTCACTGAGTTCAGACTGTAGAGGACATCCTGCTCACCCTACAGTCATGCAATGTTTTTTCCTTTGTTTATTTCCTGTCCTTGGGTTTAAAGTCTTTAACTATAACCAGTCTCTTGCTACTGATGAAACAGTAGAACCCAGTCAATAAACAAGCCCTTATGATCCTGGACAGCAAACCTAAAAGCTTCCAATATTGTAGCATACTCCATGAGCATGAAGATGTAACATTTTTAGCTGAAAGAATTTTCCCATGAAACCTGATTAATGTACAAACTCCCCCACTTAGAACTCCATTATTCACAAAAACGCTGAGGACAGCAGTGTGTCATCTTCCAGATTTATCTGTTACTGTACAACCTTTGTCCTTGTAACATAACATCATACATTGCTATGTTGTAAGTGCCTGCTTTTATTATCTCCTCTGTATTTTTCACGCTACAATTATTCTTTATGTTTTGTCTGCCTGGTTTTTGATTTGTTTTTAAATGGCTTATAATGTTGTTTTTAATGGCTAATTCAAAATTTAATGAATTTGGAATCTGGCCAACAGCCGCAAACTAACCGTTTGGCAACACTGGAACATTAGCAGTAACACTGATCAATTTTAAATGCTCATTGATTTATCATATTTACGCCTTGCTTTGGTTGTCTGTTGGTGTTGGTGCTTCAGGCAGTTTTGATGTGTTTGCCAGCTGTGTTGGCTGAAGCATACTGAAGCAGGTCAAACAGAATCTTGGCCTCACAGCTCACAAGTTTTCATCAAATCATCTGCATGTTTCCTCTGGCAGACAAATTTGCGACCAAGCCAACGGTTTTTTCACATGATCTCACTCCCACTCGGCTGAATTTACTGTAATCTCATTGATAATGCTCTTCATCGTTCCCTTGTTCTTTCCTTCCTTCTTTCCTTCCTTCTTTCCCTTTGTTTCTTTTTCTCTGAGCCCTCAAATGGCGTGAGGCCAGACATATGCTCTTCATTTTGCCCAGACAATCTGTCCAATCGAAAAAACACTGTCACTCAGCTTTGACGATTTGCTGTGACATAACTTCAAACTGCTGTTGGGCTTTATCACTTTGTCTGCAAATGGTAGCGCCCCTCGCCTCTTGAAATCTATTGTTTTCTGTGTCCAGACCCCAAACCGCTGAAATTTACAGCACAACTCCACTAAAATCAGATCAAAGCATTGAAGGGAGAAAAGGCACTGCATAAAATGGTTTCATCAAGAATCATAGAATGAAATGGCCCACTTCCTTTCCCAATGTTGTTTGGACAGGTGAGTGAAACTGCAAGCTAGGCCTCGGTCCCACGACTGCAGCCACCTCAGACAATTGAACTGTTCCAAGTCAAACATGAGCTATTGCGGCTCAGAAATAAAGATAAGCAGTTGAAAACCAAAGGTGGGAGTCCTCAGCTTCACCCTGATGTTAAACAAATACTCAGAAAAAATATCCCCACACCTCTACATGACTGTTAGCTGCAGGAAAGTTTCACCAGTTTTTACCCCTTTGTCTGTTGCTGTAATGGAACGATTTACAAAAAAAATTGGCTCCTGCAGTTCCTTCAGATCAGAGGCTGTCTGTGTGTGTCTGTGTGTGTGTGTGTGTGTGTGTGTGTGTGTGTGTGTGTGTGTGTGTGTGTGTGTGTGCGCGTGTGTGTGTGTGTGTGTATGCAATCCTTGTGTGACTATTTCTGTTTGCGCTGCACATTTTGTTGAACATCCAAGTAAAACACCTCTCCTCCTCCACCTCAAGCTTTTATATTTTTGGAGGATTTTGTTTAGCTTGTAAGGTCTTGTCCTCTTTTTTTGCTCAGTCAGTTTCCCTCACAGGAATGTAAAGCTGTAAAGCCTTGATGTGGTGGAACACGTCATGTCACCAGATCAACAGCAACACTGAGAATATGCTTAGGTAGGATTTTTCATTTGTAGCTGTTAAGACTAGACGAGCTGGAACTTACATAACATGTTATTGTGGATGCTTTTATTGTATTTGGAGTAAGGGTCTAGAAATCCTCCGAATGGGTGGCCCATGGGAACCCAAACCTGAACTTTGGCAGAGGTGCAGTGCTCTACTCTGCAACATTCTTGGTGTTTTTACTCAGAAAGTTGCTTTCCTTTATAGCAGCTCAACTTTTTCTGAGGATTCAATCTGGATTTTAAGTTGATGAAGAGTATGAACTGGCTCTCACTTTGGCTACTGTTGCTCATTCTGATTCTCCTTGAAATGTTTGTAGCTGTTTCAAAGGCCAAGAAGTTCTCCATCTGCAAAAGCGATCGCTGAGCAACAACTCTTGTCAACTTCTTGCACATATTAAATGAGCTATGCGACAGTCAGAAGCTTTCTTGTTGCCACTTTAAAGTGGAAAATTGAGGATTTGAAGAATACGGACACACAATATTCTTCTCACATTGTCCGGTCTACCAGAAAGAGCATTTTGAGTCTTGTTGGCAGGATAAGGAGCCTTAAATGACTGAGGCATGACGGGAAAGTCCCTGGTATTCTCTGGCTCTGTCTACCCCCCAACATGGCCCACGAATTACCCCTCCACTGCCAAGCAATAACACAAAAACACCATAGGGTAAAACCTTGTGGCAAATAACATTAGTCACAACTCATATTCATTTTAAGTTTTTGGCCATGTGGCTGGTGTTATTTTTCCAAAGCAGGTCACAAGACTAAGACTTTGATGGTTCCTGTATCTTCAAATATCAAAGGAATCAAAACGCATTACACAGAAAATCAACTTTGTTGGTAGTAATCTCATTTACTGAACAAATGTTTTCTCATCAGCTTGAAAAGACCATATGCAAGAAAGAGTCCATTCTGTTTATTATGTCTAGACGTGATTCTCCAAAAGTATTTGAGTGTGCTGTGAACAACTAAAAGGTAAGCTAGGATAACAGAGTCAGTGTTTAGTCTTGTTCCCATGAACTCCCTTATACGCTGATTTAAATTTCAAGGCCCATTGTTGCCTCCTGCATTATGAGTTGAACTCCCTTCTTAATTTCTGAATGTATGACACTCATTTAAGTGCTAAAATAAAGGTATAGACCTAAAAAGTCACATTTGTATGTTCTGATATCACGGAGACATCTCAGTGGACGTCCTGCATGTAAATCCGATTAATCCCTGTGGATAAAAATTGGTGTTGACCTTCTGCCCAAAACAGAGAAAGAGCAACACATCAGTGCTGGCTAGTTCCTGTGTGTCTAAGGCCGTTACATCAGTTAGTCAGCACCTAAAATAACATTCAGTCAGCCTTGCACTTTATTCTAAGTAAACTTCATCCTCCAGTTTTACCACAGTCAATTAGCTCATTTCCCATGTGTCATCTCTCTGGCTCGCTCGTTAGCTAACGGGTGACCTGCTGACGGGTCACATCATGCCGGAAGCCCGCTTCCTTTATAAATACACTTAATAAAATTGCCACAAACACACACAGAGACACACTCACACACAAAATCTCCCCAGAGGAAATTTTTAATAAGAGTCCAGTTTATGGACATTCCCCTAGGGAGAAAAGTACCTATTTCCTCAGCCTTCAGGGGCTCATTCAGGATACAGGAGGGTGCTAAATTACACACCAGACCAAGCCACCAACCTCTTTTATCTCAAGAGTACACTCACTGGCCCCTAAGGTATTGCATTGGCTAATCGATTTAAGTTATTCCCCCAATGGTGTTTGTGATACTTAAAAAGGATGGTCCATGTTCTTTATGAAATTTAGGTTTTACATTGCATTCATGTGGTGTCAGAACAAGTGGAAAAACGAGTTCCCGACTGTTCCCGAAGTTGTGTCACACGACTTGCCAAATTATACATGTCATATTACACAGAAATATGGCGGACAAAAGACCTATATTAGTTCTTTATAAGCATTAACCCTGATAACATGTCAGGTAAAGCAACATTTTAGTAGTTTTAGGGAATGTAGCCTACTAGTTCAGCAACAAATCTTGGACAAAATCACTAAGCTTCAAATTATTTCAGCATACTTAGATAGGAACATCACATACATAACATGTTGTTTCCACATTATGACTTGGCGTGAATGCAGCATAATATCCTTCAGTAACAGAAAAAAAGGATATAGTATCTAATCTGTTGCTAGCTAAACAGCTAAACAGCAGGGTAGCTATTGATAGCAACAATGGAATAAAAACAATATTCCTACGATTAAATAAACAACAAACAATACTTTTTGTTACAAATAATTGCGACAGACAGTAAAGTTACTGTTAAAAGTTAAAGTTGTCCAGAATACAGCTTGTTTTTCATGTTGTGGAGCTAATGCTTTTACACCCTGCCTTTTTTGGCTAACAAAACAAAGCTGTATTTTTCTTGTTTGACTGCTATACCATATGGAGGATAGTGTGTGTCTGACAGATAGCTTAAGGTATTTCTTGCTGAACAAACCATTGTAACTCAAAGACACATACAGGAATTATTGAGGATATTCTTGTTTCATCCTGTTCTTAGTGTTCTTTGAGGAAAGCTTTTCAATTTTCTGTATGTTAATTCATGACTGCTGTAAACTCAATTTAATGTTGGTGTGTGTATACTTTGAAGTTTAATTTCTTAGACATGAGTGCTGTTTATTTGAGTGGTCTTCTCTTTTTCCTTGTCTTAGGTCCGGCAGTGTGAAGAATCACTGGGAGGAAATCTACTACTTTGTGGAGAATCTAGCAGAGAAATTCAAAAGGTAAGTGGATCTACATAGGTGGACAGTATATTGTAACACTTAAAAGGTTTGGAAACGTTTCATAACTGGACTTTAAGTCTCTAGTTACTAAACAACCTTGTTGCCTCTGTACTCGACTTCCGGCCCCGAGATGTAGATCATCAGAGAAACGCACACTTTAAGCAGCAGTCACACTGGTAAAGTAAAATAAAATCTGTCCCTACAGCTACAGCTGGCCATATGCTAAGTCACTCAGCATCCAGGTTGATGTTTCACTCTGTCTCTGCAGTAGCTGAGCTGATGCCAGTGGTGTAAGTGAGTTTCCAGCAGTGACTACAGGCTGGAAAGCCTGGATGTGTCGGATAGCCTGGGATTTACAGCCTCTTGAGACTTAGAGGAGGGCACAGAATGATGGATGCTCTCAATGGGCAAGGCCTACAAAATCCCACCTTCAAAAACACTGCACCATCTCAACTCAGATCTTTTCCCGAAATGTTACTCTAATCTAATCTAAAATCATATTATAATGAGTGCAAATGATAGAAAGCTCCATTGAGCTCCTTGT